TTTACTGGCCGGATGCCCTTCCTGACACCACATGAAGGTTGCAGCAGATATTTTTTCTTTGCGCCCTAGGAGAGAAACATAAACACACTTAAGGCATTTCCATAAAATATCATTGTAAGGAAACAGTCAAAAAGTAAAATAAAACATCACATTACAGTGTAGGTTAATTTTAAAAAGCAGTAGAATAAATATAATTTAAGGTTTTACAAGCAAACCATCAGCCACTACTCATCTAAAAGAATAAAGAGGTATCTGACATTCTTATGAGGATATTATAAATTATTTCATTATTGACTAAGAAATTGTATGTAGCGCATGCAGGGTCATCAAATTCTGTCTACGGCATACTCAGTGGATAGGATAATAAATCAGACATCACTGAGAGGTTTGTTATCCAACACGTGAAGGGGGTATTTACTTTATTTATTTATTAAATTTATATGCCGGCAATCTCACCATCAACTGACTCTGGCTTACAACATGATTAAAATGACAATGTAAGAGATTGAAATAAATTAACAAAAATTAGCTAAGGAAGAAAACCAATATACAATGGGTTGGAGGTGGTGTCTTCTTTTTAATCCATGAACCACCTCCAATATGGAACACCCCCATCAGTACCCCAGGCCAACCAGCCGAGACAGGTTTTACCGTCCTTATGGAAGGCCAAGAGGGTGGGGGCAGATCTCACCATTATTCTTGAGCCACAGCAAAAAAAGGTTGTTACTTACTTTCAGTCTTTTTTTCAATAAGTTGAGTGCCAGCAACATACTTAGCCTAATATATGATAGCATCTGTCTGTATGGGCCTACTTACATGTATGCAAGCATTTTCCTTCAGAAGAAACAGAGCTGCTAATTAGAGGCCTTTCTGTGAAAGGCAGGGTAAGAGAACTGTTTCCCACTTAGTGGTTACTTATCTGCAGAGATAAACTTGTCGAGGGCCACAAACTAGAAGGTCTCTATAGCAGCATTGCTTTATAAAAGGGTCCCCAACCCCTGGGCCACAGACCAGTATCAGTCCTTGACCCTGGGCCACACAGCTGGAAGTGAGCAGCAGATGAGCAAGCAAACCTTCATCTATATTTGCAGCTGTTAACATCACCGCCTCAGCTCCACAGGGTTTAGCTTCTCATAGGAGTGTGAACCCCACTGCAAACTGCATGTGAGAGATCTGGGTTATGCGCTCCTCATCCCCGCACGGTTCGTGGAAAAATTATTTTCCATGAAACTGATGCCAAAAAGGTTGGGAACTGGTGCTTTACACCCCTTAGCTTTTCTAACTTTTTTTTTTATCTCTGTAGGTTTCTTTTTTTCCTGACACAGCAGGCTTCCAGAAAAGAGAATGATTGCTTTGCCAGAGGCCTGAATTTCTTGCTTACAAGGAGCTTTCAAAATTAGTCTAATACCTACATAAAATAGGCGGAGAACAGCATATGTAGCCTTAGGGTTACAAGTTGCCTATCTCTCCTACATTTCTTTTGTAGTAGTAATAACGTATGTGTGGTCGTCTTAGATAGAGATTTTTTGACTTCTGAGGAACTTTTTAAGGCAAAGTGGGTGCAGTAACTTGACTATATCTCAAAAAAAAAAAAATCATGTTGCTGAAAGTTAGCTTTTCTGCTGCCAAATTTCAACAGCATAACTGGAGGTGCTCTTGTTTATGGTTTAGCATGCTGTATGAATGCAGCCACTGCAGTTTGTAAATTATGGTTTGGTGTATTGTGAAAACCTAGCTAATGGTAGTTCGTTCAATTAACCATGGAAAAGAGCAACTTGAACACAATCTATGACTCTGATGAAAATATGTATTCACAGAGAATACCCCAAAGATCAATCTGTGAGAGCTCATTTAAAATGCTAGAGAGGTAAACTGGTTAATAAATATTATGAGACCCTCACACGGATAAAGTCTATCTGGTTTAGGTTATCACACAGGATTATTGTGAATGGCAAGAAAAGAATGATATCTGGTTCCTGTTGGGAAAATGGGTGTTGGAAGAAATATCCATCTGGTTCAGTTCCAAGCCTGGAGAAAGGCACTAGAGACAAAATGGAGTCTGGAGGCTGATTGAATAGAGGGTCCATTTATTGCAGGCACTGCATATGTCTAGTTTATTAAAAAGAAGGACTAGAGGTGACATGATAGGGTAATAGCAATATCTAAGGGGTGCCACAAAGAAGAGGGGGTTAACCTATTCTCCAAAGTGCCTGAAAGGAGGATAAGAAACAATGGATGGAAAGTAGTCAAGAAGAGAAGCAACCTAGAAATAAGGAAAAATTTCCTGATAGTGAGAACAATTAACCAGTGGAACAACTTGTGGATGATCCAACACTGGAAGTTTTCAACCATTGGAAGATTGGACAACCATTCATCTGAGATGGCCTAGGGCAGGGGTATCAAACTCATGGAGTGCTTAGATCTGGCCTGCGGGGCCACCCTGGAAACAATGAAGGATTGGCCCGCGGTGCCTCTGCCAGTGAAAACAGAGCTCAGGGGCAGCCCTCCCGAGCTCCATTTTCGCTGGCAGAGGGTTGCAGGAGGCTGTCATGGCTGAAAACAGAGCTCGGGAGCCCATTTTCGCTGACAGAGCACTCGAGCCACCACATGTGCCCCCGACACAAGTGACGTCAAGCTGGCCATGCCCACCTCGGCCATGCCCATCCCAGCTCCCCCAGGTCAAACACAACCTCAGGCGACCCTCAATGAAACTGAGTTTGACACCCCTGGTATAGGGCTTCCTGCCTGAGCAGCGAGTTGGACGAGAAGTTCTCCAAGGTTCCTTCCAACTCTGTTGTTCTGTTATAAAGAAATTATGTGGCCCAAAAACATTGCAAATTTTGCACCCATTGAAGTAGGGGTTAGCAACTTTTTGGTGACAGGGACCACATTTACTTTAGGAGGAGGGGGAGCTCTACTGTGAGCAAAGCAGTTATTCAAGAAGGCAGAACTGCACTGTATGTGTACATTTCCTTTTTTTCCGGTCTAATGCAGGTTTTTTGTACTCAGAGGACTGCTGGACTGGAATAGCTTGTCAGCCCCAGGAAGTAAGCAAATACTGTAAACACACTTTGGTTTATTTATGGATTCATAGTGAATGCTAAACTTGGCAACTCTTATCTTACTGTCCCAAACTTTTGTCAGGAAAAAAAATCTAGTTAAGGGACTTGGGAGGGAGACTTGGGTTTGGGGTTTGGAGAATTGCCACCTCTGGTCTTGAATGGGATGGCCCTGTCCCAGACAGATCCAGTGCATAATCTGAGGTTTCTCCTGGATTCCCACCTCCTGCTCAAGGAACGGGTGGCAGTCATGCCCAGGAGGGCCTTTGTGCAACTGCGGGTTATACATCAATTACGCCCTTTCCTGGACTAACACATAGGAAAAGATGTAATTGGCGCCCTTTCTCTGCTCACAGTCACTCATGCCCTAGTCTTGACTATTGCAACCTACTCTACATGGGGCTACCCTTGAAAAGCATCCGGCAGCTCCAGTTGGTTCAGAATATAGAAGTCTAGTATACAGTTCTGAATCTCCTAATGGTTTTCTGTTCATAGAATAACAAGATTCAACCCTTCTTAGCTTTTCTTAGATTGGCCAAGGTTAGCTAAATGCTGCCATCTGCTGTGTCTAGGCCTACTACTGCTGCCATGTAGTAATCTTTGGATTTGTAATGATGCAATTAATGTTATATGCAGATCAGTGGTGGGTTGCTACCGGTTCGCCCTGGTCCGGGCAAACCAGTAGTAGCGGTGGTGGGAGGCTCCGCCCACCCACCCGGACGTCATCAAATACGATCTGCCCATGCACAGAAGCTTCTGGGCATGTGTAGAAGTGGCACGTGCACGAGCGAACTGTTAGCAAAGGTAAGTGAAACCTACCCATGATGCAGATCTCAATAATCCTAGAAGTTTTCAATCCAGAGAAAGACAACCCAATTGAAGTCTTCTTGAAGGTACTGGAGTGCTTACTATTGTAAGGTGCTGCAACAAAGATGGCTTTGTCTAATCTAACAAGATTTATCTCTGTGCACTTGATTGTCAGTATCTCCTTCCAATGAGTTAAATCTCTAAGCTAATATATGCAGTTAAACTAAGTAGTTTTAATTGAGATATGCAAAATGTTCAGTTGCGGAAGTTTCAACCAAAGAATATAGTTATTCTGACCACTGAGGTCAAACTAATTGCAGTACATTCAAGGTAGCCTGTTTCAAGGTTGTAATATTTGTTTAACAAAACATTTTGCATCTCCCTGGTTCTTGTAATCAGATGGTCTCTTATAAGAAACTTAAAAATCATAGTTTGACATGTGATCTTTGGAATTTTTGCACATTCAGTAAATACATAACATCCCTATGACTTTTCTAAGCAGTGATATCAAAACAAGACATCTGATTTAATTTGCCATGCAAAAGGACTTGGGGAGGGAAATATACAAATCAAAAGAATCTTTTCCACCCAGAAATGGACTTTCCATCTTTTTTATCCTAATGTGTATCTTTTATAACTGCTACAACTTCAGCTCTATTTTTAAAGTTCCTCCAGAAATAACCGATAACATTCTATAGTATTAAAGGATGGTCATATTGAGAATGAAGACAATGAATTCAAACTAATAGCAAAACTTCGCTTATTTCAGTGGTGGATTGCCCCCGGTTCGGACCAGTTCTATAGAACCGGTAGTAAAACTGGAGGGAGGCTCCGCCCACTGACCCCAATGTCATCAGAATGTTTCTACGCATGCACAGCCCTGTTGCAAACCGGTAGTAAAGGTAAGTAGAATCCACCCCTGGCTTATTCCTTTCCCCTACCCTTACTCCGAATGGGAATAGCGAATGGTGCCCAATATTCATGAAAGAGACACTACTTTTTATGTTCAATTATGGCAGTGTAAAGTAAGGTGAGAAATGTTTCTAGCTTTCTGGTTTGGAAAATGCTACATGTCCTCTTTTCTCCCTTGAGATTTTCATCCCCTTTACCAGGGAAACACACACACAAACAAAATCAAGATATTGATGTGGCTTTATTGAAGAGGAGCAGACATGATGATGTCTCCTAAACAGTCAGGAACTGGAAGGAGCTCCTCTTGCCCCATCTCGAAGGATCAGCCATCCTCTTCTTTAGCCTTTCTTGTGAGGCCTGCAGCAGTACAATCCACGTGCGTTGCAGTCACAGGAAAAGTCGGCGATATGGTGTTTGCCGCAGCTTTTCTGACAGGTGCCTCCCAAATAATGGCAAGACCTTTGTCCTTTGCATGCTGCAAAGAGTTGGGGGGAAAAACAATGCTAAGGAAAAGTGAAACATCTTCATCCATTTTCAGAAAGACTTAAGAGGAAATGTACAGTTGACAGATAAGAAATAAGAATTAGCAGAAATTCAGTCTCATTTTAAAACAATCATGCTTTTAACCTTTTTGGATCAGCTTTACCATCCTATTTTCTAAACTCATCACATACTAATAGGTTCTCCATGTGTTTTATAGGATCCACCATCTAATCCATTAGTTCCATTCAGTGGTGGGTTTCAAATTTTTTTACTATCGGTTCTGTGGGTGTGGCTTGGTGGTCATGGCATGGCTTGGTGGGCGTGGCTTGGTAGGCATGTAAAATCTCCATTCCCTCCCCAATCCAGGGGAAGGTTACTGCAAAATCCCCATTTCCTCCCGATCAGCTGGGACTTGGGAGGCAGAGAATAGATGGGGGCGGGGACAGTCAGAGGTGGTATTTACTAGTTCTCTGAACTACTCAAAATTTCCGCTACCGGTTCTCCAGAACTGGTCAGAACCTGCTGAAACCCACCTCTGGTTACATTATTGCTCAAGACTTTCCTTTTGCTGTTGGATCTTTGACCACAAAAGATGTAGCTGTATTGCTAAAAAAATTTTCAATTGTCACATTAGAAGACTTTCCCAGTTTGACTATGCCACCTAATTCTCCCAAGACTATCCTGGTTGGCCTTCCTCTGACCATTAGGACAGGGATGCACAAATCTACTGATATTCTAGAATCACATTTTTTAAAAATGAAAATGGCCCCTGAACTTCAGAGGTGTAAGGCAGGGGAGACTGATATCTCTATAGTAGGCAGAGCTAATAACCAGCCTATTTTGAAGGAGAGGGAAGTAATTGCCAAAAAGCAATTAATTTTACTCCTAGAAAAAAAACATACACAAACATTGAGTGAATATTTAGTGCTGCCCATTTAGGTTACTGGGATCTATTTGCAGTCCAAGATCTACAGATTGCGCTGCCCTAAAGTTGGGTAATCCATGAGAAAATATTTGGGGCCCTAAATCATGTTAGGTTCAATCCTATTTGCAGACATTACTAGTCAGTAGGTCAGAAATGCTGATACACTCCAGGAATTTTAAACGGAGTCCTTCAACCAAATGAATCTGTCAATTTTCCAAGGGCCATTTCACTTAGTTACAACTGAGTAGCCAGCTCCACCTGCCTCTCCTCTCCCAGGATTATTTCTTTTCCAGCAGATATACATGGTAACAAAAATAACTATTTAACTACAAAATACTTATTTAACTTAATAGATATTTCCATTTATCTGGCTCCTCCACATTTGTTTTCTTTTAGTGTCATGATTTTAGACTGTCAGTAGAACCTGCCTATTAAAATAATAATTCATTAAAATGTCTCTGGAATATGGAAACCAGTTTTGATTGATATTATTCTAAAAGAGAGTCTAAAGTCATCCAAATTGACCAAATAATTATGTAAAACAAATTTTCAGAGGATTCATGAAAATCAATAGGAGGCAGGAAGCATACTAATTTCCCTGGTCCTAAACAAAGCAACAAATAAACTGCATTTACCATATATCATAAAAGCATAATATTCTATATATCCAGAAATGAATGTATTTATTCATATATGTATATATAAAAGAAGGGAGCCAATTGTTCAGTTCTTATCCACTAAGATATGTACTTTATCTTAGTGCAGCATTTCCTCTTTCCCCAGGACCAGGCAAATGTGGCTCAAGGTTGCTTGCAAGCAAGAACCAGAGACGCACCATTTCCCATTGTTTCCCTGCAACTGGTGCATGCGGCTTCCAATCTAACAGTGCCACTGAATTTTCAGAAAGGTAAGCTGTTGACAGACCTTTTCCTTCAGGAATATATCCAAACTCCTGTAAAGCAACCATCACATTTCATGGCAATGAAATCTACAAGTTAAGTGGGCACTGTGTGAAGTGTTTCATTTTTCTATTTTAAATCCCTTTCTAATCTTTGGATGATCCCTGCCTGTGGTGCTTTGAGAGGGAGGAGGAATTCCCTATCCCTTTTCTCAGTACCTTGAAGGATGTTATATACACCTCAGTCATGTTACTTTCAGCCTCTTTTTATTTCCTCCAGGTAAAAAAAAATAATCCTCTGTCTTTTACCAAGCCTAACGTATCTGAGATCCTTGAAGCTTTATAAAGCATCTTTCTATTTAACCACAATTTCAGCTGTTAAGTGCCATCAGTACTCTAGGGAAAATTGAAGTGCTGGGAAACAATAGGGCATGATCACTATTCATGGACTAATGGCAAGGTTTGGAGAAACACAGAAAATTCTTTGAAGAAGAGAAATTAAAACTCCTGTCCTGCATAGTGAATGATGCTCAGTATTCAGAAATCATAGAATGTTGAGCCTCAGCTGAAAAAGGAAGAGAAATAAAATTGAGATAGCTGGAGGAGGCCGTAGTAGGTTGGCTTGAACCTTCAGTAACAGTATTACCAACTAGTTCTGGCTAGAAATTTCTGCAGACCCAGAACCTTACTTCACTCCCCCAATGATACATTTTTTCAAGAAGCCTCTTCATTTCCCTACCCCGTACTCATACCTGGATCAGCCATGACAGCAACAACCAACAGCATGACAACCACAGCAAGGTAAAGAACCTTCATGTTGAGAAAGGGCTGCTTTGGTCTCCAAAACTCTGAGAAACAGAAGCAACTCGATGAGCTGGATACTCAATGATGGTTGCAGTCAGGATTTGGTACTTTTATAGGGAATTTGTGGTGGTGGTGGGGAAAGCCCATGTAAATAGTTGTTTAGTTACTTGCATGCGTCATCTTACGTAGTTATCACCAGCTTACGTAAATTATGCCTTGTTTGTCAATATTTTTCTTGCTGTTTACTGCCCCCAACAATGCACGGTAGCTGGATTTTCAATAGGCATTGTTGTCTTCTCTCATTGTATGTTGCCATTTTTTGTGTGATAGCATTATTTGGCTGTCCCCAGCCAATTGTAAACATAAGAATCAACTTCATGCTCCCAGAAATTAGTGTTGGATTGCCAAGTCAGAGCCAATGAAGGAGTAGAAACTTTCTCTCATTCAGCTTTGTAGTGAGAAATGTGAATGTAGACACCATGAAGGCCAAACAACAACTATTGGCCTTTCACAATGGCCATTTTCTCAAACATGGAAGTGAAAGAGCAGGCCTAAAGAAACTAATGCTTCTGAGGAACATATGAGGTGTGATGCCGTTCTGGTTTGTTCATTTAATGTTCCAGATGTAGAGGACATTTTTCAAAGAAGAAGAGGAAAGGTCCACTGCCACACTTCTAACATTTATAAGGCAGAGGAAGAACCAAAGGTTTCCCATATTTTGGGGCACTTTAAATTACATTTTTCCCCCATTCAATTGTGTCTCATTCTGGGAGACTGCCCCGATGAGTTCTTGTGGGATTTTTTTTGACAAGGTTTGTTCAAAGTGGTTTGCCATTGTCTCCTTCCTAGAGCTGAGAGAGAGTGACTGGCCCAAGGTAAGCCAGCTGGTTTTGTGCCCAAGGCAGGAGAACTCACAATCTCCTGGTTTTCAGCCTGATGCCTTAACCTCTACATCAGGGGTCCTCAAACTTGGCAGCTTTAAGACTTGTGGACTTTAACTCCCAGAATTCTCCAGCCAGCTAAGCTAAACTGGCTGGAGAATTCTGGGAGTTGAAGTCCACAAGTCTTAAAGCTGCCAAGTTTGAAAACCTCTGCTCTACACCAATGGCCCCCAATCCTTTGGGCCCCAGGGACTGGTTCCATGGAGAAAGGTTTTTTTCCATGGACCAGATGGGGCGTGGTTTTGGGTGCTTCCTGCATCCTGTGGGTGGGGCTTTGCTTGTTTGCGCAGACATGCTGCTGGCATGCGACAGACCAGTGCCAGCCCATAGACCGAGGGTTGGCAACCCCTGCTCTATACCAAACTGGCTCTCAAGTATTATTATACACAATTATTCAAAAAAATTATTATTTCAAATAATTATATACAATTATACAAAGTAGTATTTATATTAGTGTATAAATGATGGCATACTTTTGAGGATCAGGTCTGCTTAAAATAATGCAGGTGCCATTTTTATGTGTGTGTGTTTTTTTATAGCACCACAAACATCATAAACACCATTTTGACTGTTTATATCCCATCATGTTGTATTCAATTCCTAGTGACTACATAGGCGGATTTTATATTTTATATCCATGTGGTGTTCTTGATTAAAAATATATAAGTGGTTTATTATTGCCTTCACCCATGCAGTATGAATTGACGCCTTTGCCAGTAAAATGGTCACCTGCCTCTGACAACTTCTTATAATGCTTCTGTCTATATAAGTGTCTACTTGTTTTAGGTGGGTAGTTGGGATGACCTTCATACCTTGGGTGACCCTACTGGGAGAATATGTACTTTTGGCATAGAGTAGACACTCAACATTCTTCACTCATCCCTCCCAGGAACAATCCCCCTCCACAATGGGGCAGCAGCGCAAGACTTGGGGGGACATGCAGACATACTCCTGACAAAAACCCAATAAGGGTGAGGTGGACAATTTCCTACTCACAGAATGGAACCATCACAAATAGAGTTGCTAAGTTTCCATCAGCAGTATTCCCTTAAAAAGGCATAAAATGTCCTAATTTGGAAATGACTAAATCTAAACTAATAAGGTATTCCTTATTTATTTCTATTTTATCCTAGGTTTTACACTGTTTTACTGCATTTTATTCAGTTCTCCCCTTTCTCAAGTTTTATGTCTTATTTTTCTAGGTTTCAAATGACCAACCCTGTCTTCATTGTATTTGGCCATTGTTTCTGATGGTTGCTTATTGTTTGTTTGTTTTTTGCTTTACTGGCCACAGGCTTAATTAAATAAATTTGAGGTCAGCAGGGATCTTTGCCTTATTTCAAGTTGCTCTGTCTGCCTCACCATGTAGGATTTATTTTGTTCCCAGCTTAGTATCAGACTGAACCTTCCTATTCCAGGAAACAATGACTGAATTTTTCTCCTGTGTAATCTAATACGACCCTGTCATGGGGTGAGGGGAGGGGAGAGCATGAAAAAACAGCACTTGAGCAACCCTCAGAAAAGCAAAGTCACAAACTTTCAAAAGGTGGGTCTACTTTTTGGTTGGGTCTATAAAAGTTATGACAATCTCAGTTCCTTGGGATTCTGGGTTGAAGCTATGCCTTTCACCAGACATTGAACAACCAACACCCCGAAAATATTAGCATCCAACCCAGAGGTGGGTTTCATCAGGTTCTAACCAGTTCTGGAGAACCGGTAGCAGAAATTTTGAGTAGTTCAGAGAACTGGTAGTAAAAATTCTGACTGACCCCCCCCCCATCTATTCTCTACCTCCCAAGTCCCATCTGATCGGGAGGAAATGGGGATTTTGCAGTAACCTTCCCCTGGATTGGGGTGGGAATAGAAATTTTACAGTATCCTTCCCTGGAGTGGGGAGAGAATGGAGATTTTACAGTATCCTTCCCCTGCCACGCCCACCACTGGTAAAAATATTTGAAACCCACCACTGATTCAACCCCAGAAGACAAGTTTTCAGCAAATTGCTTTGTACACACAATGGAGGCCCCAATCCAGAAACACTTCTTTTTCTTAATATAGCATGGGCCGTATTTACTGATGACTGCTCCGCAGAGCTGTAAAGAGTTTCTTTTGGACTCTACCTGCCCAGAGTGCTTTCTGAGTCCAGACGAACCTCTCTGCAAAATTAAAAAGCAGAAAGAGAAGATGGATGCTTAAGTAGCTGCCTACTACTCCAGAGGGAACTGCTCAATGGATTGAGTTATTTGTCTCACTTCAATGAAGCTGAAAGAGTCATGGCTCAGCACAGCAACTTGCTCAGAGGAGAGAAATCCGCTGAGACACTCAACCCAATTATAATCATGCTATGCATGAAGGTTGATTTTCCTTGGGTTTTTGAAACAAAGTGGTGATCTGCGTAGTGATCGACTGGAAGTAAAATCACTCTCAAGATGAATGAGAAAGAGATGGTTTTTTAAAATCTTTTCTTAATCCTGTGCTAATTATTATAGATTTACTGTAAAAAAACATATTTCATCAACATGTATTCATTGTTAGCATCTCCGAGCAGTCAATAATGGTCTAGGAAAATTTTCCAGTTAGGAATAGACAATGTTATTTAACTAACATAAGAATCACATTGAGTTTTTACATTATTTTTAATTACTAGTTCTGATTAGATCTTCTTAATATTCTGAAAGACCTACGACAAATATTCACTGGAGTCTAGATTTGCCAGAGAGTCAGAAAAAGGAGAACACACACTCAGTTTCCTACTCATGTACTCTATCTCAGGGGTCCCCAATCTCTGAGCCATGGCCCACTACCAGTCTGCAGCCTATTCGCAACCGGGCCACGAGTGGTTGGCTGGTGTGAGTACCTACATCTGCGTGCAGAGCCCAGAGGTGAAATCCAGCCGGATCTATCCGGCTCATGTGAAGCAGTAGTGCTGGAGGAGGGAGGCTCCACCCACCCGCTGGGATGTCATCATGTCCCGTTTTTGGTCCTCTGCGCATGTGCGGAAGGCACATTCATACTCCCGAACCAGTAGTGAAGGTAAGTGCATTTCACCGCTGGCAGAGCCCCACTTGAGCAAGCATGTGTATGTGTGTGTATTTTATTTATTTTTACCCTTACTTGGATTCAAACTTGGGCTTCCTGCATGTTAGGCAGTTGAATTAACCTTCTGAGCCACAAGGGTATGGCTAGCTGATGAAAGCTAAAGAGCTTGAAATAGATCTATACTAGTCTCCCTTTATTTCTTTATCAGCAAAATATAAATTTGGTATAAAATGGTTTGTCGTGAATGCGACTGCTTGAGGGCTCCGGCATTGGAGCTGAAAGGTGAAGGGGAGCAGAATACCCTCCCCTCCCACATGTTGGGGTAGACCAGGTGTCTCGGTAAACACTTAATATATATATGTATGTATATATATATGGTGAAGCAAAACATTGATACAACTCCTGGAATTGGATTTTAACTATTTTTTTAAAAAAACCTTCCATCTGCTTATTTGAAAAAAATGCAATACTTTGACTGTGGGGCAGGGGGAATGTCCCTATGTATGGGGCTCAAGGATGTGCTAGCATTACTCTCCTCAAGTTGATCCTATGTCATGTACAATTGAAACAACTGCAGATTGTTATTCTTTTTCTCTTTGTTTTTATCATGCAGGAAGAGGATTAAACAAAATGAAGATGATGGCCACAACCATGCAATCAAAACTCCACTCTTTTCTACATACTTCATGTGGGATTCTTATCACATGGTTATGGCTGCCGTATTGTCTTTTTTGCACCTTGTACCTGTCCCAGGTCAAATTTTGGAATGCAAACCCCTTTGGGCAGGAAACTCTTGTTTTGTATTTCCTACTGTAGCATGTATGTATTTATCTATTAGCTACCTTTATTACTTCATTAGTAACTTGGGCATACATATATATATATGTATATGTATATGTATATGTATATGTATATGTATATATATATGTATGTGTGTGTGTGTATATATATATATGTGTGTGTGTGTGTGTGTGTGTATACTTGCTTATAATTCACAAGATACCTGTGTGTAAAATAAATAAATAAATAAATAAATAAATAAATACAGATTTTGCGCAAAACTCATGTTTAAAAAAAGCAAAAGGATAAAAATGGACATCTTTTAAAAGAAACAAACAGCAGAAATACATTTTTAGAAAACGCACAAGGAAAATGTCAGAAGTTGCAGAAATTGTGTAAGCCAGAAGCCTGCTGAAAATAAAAACTGTTTTTAATGAAGCTGTTTTAAGGCTACTCAGAAAGCAAAGATGGAAAAACTGGTTACACAACATGAGAAACAACCTTTGCGATTAATCCTATGCAGCAACTGAATACAGATCGTGGATTCAATTCTGGTGAAGGTGAGTCCCATAACATCAGCTTGAAACTGTGATTTGTCATGAGTTTATGTGTTTAAATCCCATGGCTAACTTTGTTTTCTGGCCTCTGAACAGACAAGAACACAGCTACACAGGCTAAGAAAACAAGTCCTGGACTTTTCATTCTCTGAGCAGGAGTATCAGGGTGGAATGACACTCAAAAGATATAGGAGCAAACTGCGCCTGACGGAAGTTGGATTTTTTTTTTTTTTTGTACTCTTCTATGTCTGCCCTGTACTTTGCGCTAAAAGTTAATCTAGGGCTGGTTCTTTCATTTAAACACTTTTTCATCTGAACTGACTCATGCAGCCCAAGAAATTTTCAACCATGAAACTTTCTGCAGTTCTTGTCCTTCTGGCCATCTTCCCACTCTCTATTGTTCTAGCAAGTAAAAGGCAACCAGGTAAGAACAATTCTGTTTTATCTGTTGTGTTCATGTTGGACAATTCAGCTTGTGAGCTGAGAAGCTTTTCTTTTGAAGACAAGACTTTCATGTTTGAAAGAGAATTCGATTGGAGTGCCTGAGTAGAAGAGAGAATGAAAGACTGTGTTTGAATAATTCCAAGTCAAAAGGCACAGTTAATAAATGCCTGCGTTTCACTATTTTATCCACTGTTGTTCAAGACTTTTAAATCAGAGCCTTATATTTATTATGTTATCAGAGCCTGGAACAGCTGCAATTTTTGATTAAGAGAAATCAGAATTTGTTCCTAAGGCATATTACAGGTTTATAGTCCAGAAAATCTGTGGAAGAAAAAACTTACAGAACAGATAGACATGCTTGTCCTGAAAAAGAAAAGACTGAAGGGAGATATGATAGCTCCCTTCAAATATCTGAAACGTTGCCATGTAAGAGGGCAGGATTGCTCAGGGCCATTCCAAAAGACCAAGTCAGAAATAATGAGTGGAAATTAGAGGAAGTCGATTTCTTCTGAAATTCAGGAAAATTTTCCTAGTGTAAGACATATCAAAAATGGAACAGGTTTCTTTAAAATGTTGTAGTTTCTCCTTTGGTATAAAAATTTAAACAGATGATTGATGACTGTTAGAGATGCCAAAGTAGTGGTTTCAGCACCGGGCAAGGGGTTTGACTAGATTATCTCTAAGATCTCATCCAACCCTCACATTTGCTGATTTAAGGTTTCAAGGTTGACTCAGCCTTCCATCCTTTCGAGGTAGGTAAAATGAGGACCCGGTTTGTGGGGGCAATAAGCTGACTTTGTATAAAAAAAAACCACCGCTTGTGGGGGGGCGGGGGCGAAAGCCCTACTAAGCAGGTATATACAAAAGTATGAAGGCTATCACTTAACACATTGTAAGCCACCCTGAGTATCCGGAAAAGGGCGGCATATAAATCGAACCAATAAATAAATAAATAAATAAATTTAATGATTGCAGAAAGTGAAAATGGAGGTGACTCCAGCTTCAAAGAAAACCCAGTTTATTTGAGTATTTCCATAAAAACCACATATGAGACATAAAACAATATATATAATGGTTGAACATAGCTAGAAATTTAACTGATATCTTGGTACTCATTGTTAGTTGGTTCTGTATGGTGCAATGAGTACCAAAATCATTGAATACCAAACAAAAATGTTTCCATAAGGAATAATGTAGTGAGTCATAAGACACCCAATACTGGCAAGTTCTAGCTTGTGCATTGAATATCAAACAAACGATGAGTACTGAGACAAAATTTTTGCGTCAATATGTTTTGAGTTTCAAAGCAATTGAGTACCAAAGTATCACTGTATAATGTTCCAGCCCATGGAAACCAGAGACTAGTCATATAGCACCACCAACCAAATCAGAGCTGATAGATCTTCTCAGTGATGTCTGCAACAAACCATGAAAAGGCTAAAATAATGATATACAATGATGTCATCATGGTACTTATTTATTTGATTCGATTTGTGCGGCTGCCTATTTCACACAAGGTGACACTGGGTGGCGTAATTGCCTACAATCTAATGCAAATTCATACGTTACAACCGTTTCACAGTGCAGTCATTATACACATGTCAATATTTGTTCTGAGGTTTTTGCCTGTTCCCTGTAGACACCCACAGATTGTGTGTCATTGTTAAAATTTTGCAAACTCCCTGCTGGATTAAGCTAAACCTCGTATATCCGCTTTTACAGCTTCAAGAGGTTTGAAACTGGAACAGAACCTAAGAAGGAACATATCAAGGTCCAGCACAGTTATAGATGACCTGGTACTTATGACAAATGTCCTCATGGCCCAGGGCCATACTTTAGTGGTCATCCAGCTTCCTATTCTATTTGATTATGTGATTGCCATCTAAAATTAATTAATACCATTTAATTAGTTAAATAGCTGAGAAGCTGACTTGGTGCAATCAAAGAAATAGTATTCACCGTAACTGTAATTTCAAAAAATACTTCAAGGCCCCACACAGGTGCATTATTAGAAAATAAGGATAACTGAGTAGCTGCAGGCTAGTACCATTTTTGTGCCCACTTTTCTAAAAAAGAAACAAAGGAAAGCTGGGATGCTAAGGAGCACCCAGGAAGTGGGCAATTGGCCTGCTGGGAAGCAGCAATGGGATCCCCTTATTTTCTCCTCTTTTACAGCTATGCTGGGAATGCACACATCCTCCATGGCAACTGTCATAAACATCCCCAGAATAAGTTCTCAAATTTGCTTATATTACCTAGTCCATTCTAATGGCAACCCCAAGTCAAGCAAGGGTGCAACACAGCGGTCTGGCATTTCAAAAAATTAGCCTTCAGAGCTAAAGACCATCTGGAGTAGGAATGGATTTTATCCTTGGGATTAGTTGCTGAAGGTAAGGAATCCTGGATTTGTAAACTGTAGGTATCCTTGAAGTACTAGCCTTCCAGCATGTACTGAACCCAGAGCCAGGATGACACAGAAGTGCCTTCACTCCTGTCTCAATAACTGCCCCTTAAAGAACTGCCCCATAAAAAAGGTGTGGAGACTCTAGAAAGAGTGCAGAGAAGAGCAACAAAGATGATTAGGGGACCAGAGGCTAAAACATATGAAGAAGGGTTGCAGGAACTGGGTATGTCTAGTTTAATGAAAAGAAGGACTAGGGGAGACATGATAGCAGTGTTCCAATATCTCAGGGGTTGCCACAAAGAAGAAGGAGTCAAACTATTCTTCAAAGCACCTGAGGATAGGACAAGAAGCAATGGGTGGAAACTAATCAAGGAGAGAAGCAACTTAGAACTAAGGAGAAATTTCCTGACTGTTAAAACAATTAATCAGTGGAACAACTTGCCTCCAGAAGTTGTGAATGTTCCAACACCAGAAGTTTTTAAGAAGATGTTGGATAACCATTTGTGTGAAGTGGTATAGGGTTTCCCTGCCTAAGCAGGGGTTTGGACTAGAAGACCTCCAAAGTCCCTTCCAACTCTGTTATTCTATTCTAAAGTACAAAGTGTCAAATCTGATGCCAAGAACATTTTCCAGGACGCAACAGAACTTCAGATACACAGACCTGCATCTTGCAAGAGGGTATTTGCAAGGCCAAGTGCATTGAGATCAGGGCCCAGCTAGAACTGGATCTTGGAACCTGCAAAAATGGGGAACAGAGATGTTGCCGCCCTGAGAAATTGGTAAGGAAAATAGCAACATTTGCACAGTATATCTTGTCCCTACAGTGAAGCAAAGCCAAAATAGGTCATTGTATCATCCCTACCAGAATACAAATCATGGTGCTACTTAATTATGATGGTCACATTTTACTAAATTGCAAGAAACTTAAGACTGTGTCCCAAATGTTTCCTGATGTTAGCAATCATATCTAATGAAGAAGCTTCAATATTTAATTCAGATCAGTCATGAAGTAATAGAAGCTCTACTCTTGTATCAGCTATGAAAAAATTTCAGACAAGAAAGGAGGCAGGAGCAGTGTCCTAATGTTATTTGCATTTTTAGCTTGCATAAAACTAACGTAGATCTACTATTTAAGTAGAATAGTGCGGGGAATATACACTGCTCAAAAAAATAAAGGGAACACAAGCAGAAGACATCCGAGATCTGAATGAATGAAAAAGCCTTATGAAATACTTTGTTCGTTACATACAGTAGTAGTTTTGTGTTCCCTTTAGTTGTTTGAGCAGTGTATAATCTACTGTATGTAAAGAACAAAGTATTTCATAAGGCTATTTCATTCATTCAGATCTCGGATGTCTTCTGCTTGTGTTCCCTTTATTTTTTTGAGCAGTATAGATAGTGCTCATTTAACAGCGCTAATTGGGACCAAAAATTCATTGTTAAGCAACATGGTCATAAATAGAAAAAACATGTGATCATACCATTTAGCAATGGCAGATTCAGCTGTCCTTGTATACTATTATTAAGCATGAATGACATGGGTCATTAAGTGAGGACCTATTGTGACCACCTCTGCCTTCTTGCTGGCTTCCCAATTGACTTTGTTTGCATGAAGCCTGCAGGAAAAGGTTGCAAATGACAATCAGGTGACTGCAGGGAAGCAGCAGCACCTGTAAGTGCAAGGTTCAGTTGTAACTACCACTTGTTCAGTGCTGTTGCAAGTTCAAATGGTCATTAGTGAGCGGTCGTTAAACAAGGACCACTGCATATCTGTCTAGCTTTGCAGCAGGGGTGAAAGAGTCCATAAATGAGCTCCCATATTGTATGGCCTAAACAATAAGCTCTAATGCTGTGCATAAAACAAAGCTATTACATTTTACAAAGCATAATCTCTTGGTTTACTACAGTATGTAAGACCAGTACAGATAGTCCTTGATTTACAACTGGTCACTTAGTAGTTACAACAGACCTTCCCATATCTATTTACAAACCAATTTTGAACTCCAGAAAGATTCCCTTCCCCTCCGGTCACATGTTTGCAACATCCAGCGATCACATAACCAGGTTACGTGTTTTGCCAGAAACAAACCTTTATTCTAGTTCCTGACCAAAAAATGGCCATTCGGTACAATGGGGTTCCCTAACAATTATCATGTTCATTTTAAACCATGGCATTTGCTTAATGATCACAAAAAAGGGCATCAAATCAGACATGTGGTGACCTGCTTAACAACTGGCATGACGAGACTATAGTTCTGGGCCTCATTATAGTTAAAAATCAAAAATAGCACTAGCACTTAGCAATAGCACTTAGACTTATATATACCACTTCACAATGCTTTACAGCCCTCTCTAAGCGGTTTACAGAGCCAGCATATTTCCCCTAACAATTTTATCAACCTCAGAAGGATGGAAGGCTGAGTCAACTTTGAGCCGATCAGAATCAAATTCTTGGCTGTGGGCAGAGATAGCCTGCAATACTGAATTCTAACCACTGCACCACTATGGCTCCTAGTTTTGTGCCTTCCCAGCTGGTGGGAATCGAACTGCGGAACTGCTGGCAGCAGGCAGTCAGCAGAAGTAGCCTGCAGTACTGCATTCTAACCACTGCGCCGCCAAGGCTCTTATACTCTAAAATGGAACTGTCAAACTCCTGGCCCGTGGGCCAGATGCGTCACGTACTGGCCATGCCCACGCCCGGTTTATCAAAGGGGAAAAAAGTCCTGATACATCATGTGACGCCGTGAGTTTGACACCCCTGCTTTAAAACTACCTATATATAATCCAGCTATGTAAATACGATGAATAAATAAATGAATAAAAATATGGCTCTCCTATATTGGCATGGAGTTTGCTGATCACCTGTTGATGATCTCATCGGGACATGGCAGAAATAAGATACTGCCAGGGCTTAGACTTGCTGCTGTTTGGTACAAAAAGAGAAAAGTCCATAAAACTCAAATCCTACAGGGTCAATTAATCTCCTCACATCTTCATTCTCCTTTGTCAAAGGGAATCTTGATGTCTTCATAGTTTTACTGCAAATGTTATAATCCTTAGCTTTTGGGGGACGAGGAGATCTCCAGCTGATGCCATCTGTGAAGACTGCTTCCTTTTCCTTGGATTTGGGCCTCAATTCAGGTAAGAGAGAACAGATTTTAACTCAGGCAGGATACCTGCTCTGTAGGGTAAAAATTCCAAGTTCAATGCTGCTAAATATTTCATTTGTTTCTTCCTCTCTGATGTGATCGAGCAGGGGAAATATGCTCCAGGTACCATGTGCTAGGGAGCACTGGCTGGTGGGACCTGGAAGATGAGCCTTTTCTACCATGGTGCCCACCTTTTGGAGTACCATCTCTTTTGAGATTGAATTAGCTACATCCCAAGCTTGAAAACTGAGCCCAGGGTCCTGGGAATATAATGAAGTCCATCTCCTGGTTAAATGGCTATGTGGCTAATCGGTTGGACTACTAGCCTTTTATTTATATTTATGTATTTTACTGGAAGCTACCTAGAGTCACATATAGACTACCTAGAGCAGTGGTGTCAAATTCAAGGCCTGCAGGGCAGATCTGGCCCACAGGATGCTTAGATCTGGCCCGCAGGGCCACCCTGGAAACAGCGAAGGATCGGCCCGTGGTGCCTCTGCTAGTGAAAATGGAGCTCGGGAGGGCCACATGTGGCCCTTGGGAGCTCTATTTTCACTGGCAGAGGGTTGCAGAAGACCGTCGCAGCTGAAAATGGAGCTTGAGAGGGCCGCACACAGCCCTCACAAGATCCTTTTCACTGACAGAGGGTTGCAGGAGGCCGTCACAGCTAGAAACAGAGCTCGGGAGCCTGTTTCAGCTGGCAGAGCGCTCGGGCCACCACAAGCACCTGTGACACAAATGATGTCGAGCTGGCCACATCCACCCTTGCCATGCCTACCCCAGCCCCCCGAGATCAAATGCAACCCTGATGCAGCCCTCAATCCGGACAGAACCGGCTGAATCCCACCACTGCTTAGGACCATGTTTCACACTCATGACCATTGCAGTATCCCTATGGCAGTGGTGAAATCTAAAATTTGTTACTACTGGTTCTGTGGGCGTGGCTTGGTGGGGGGGGGTAATGTGACTGGGTGGGCATGGCCAATTTTTTTTTTTACTTTTAAAACCATTTTTTCTACAATCTCTTCGGCTGTAAGAGGTTGTAAAAAATGCTTTCAAAAGGCTCTGATGATCCCAGCTGAGTTGCCTGATCGTCAGAGGGTTTTTTAAAAAACCTCTGCTGATCAGGCAACTCAGCTTGGATTGTCAGTGGAATTTAAAAGAAAAAAACTTTTTTTCTTTTAAATGGCTCTGGCGATCCCAAGCTGAGTTGCCTGATTGGCAGAATGTTTTTAAAAAACCCTCTGACAATCAGGCAACTCAGCTGGGATCGTCAGAACTTGGATCATCAGAGGCATTTAAAAGAAAAAAACTTTTTTTCTTTTAAATGGCTCTGGCGATCCAAGCTGAGTTGCCTGATTGGCAGAATGTTTTTAAAAAACCCTCTGACAATCAGGCAACTCAGCTGGGATCGTCAGAACTTGGATCATCAGAGGCATTTAAAAGAAAAAAACTTTTTTTCTTTTAAATGGCTCAGGCGATCCAAGCTGAGTTGCCTGATCGGCAGGGGTTTTTTAAAACCCTCTGTCAATCAGGCAACTCAGCTTGGATCGTCAGAGCCATTTAAAAGAAAAAAGCCTCTGATGATCATGCAGCTCAGCTGGGCATGGAGGGGGGCAGGGATTTTTGCTACCGGTTCTCCAAATCACCTGCCTCCATCACTACCAGATTGGGTGATCCGGTCCGAACCGGGAGCATTTCACCCCTGCCCTATGATCACATGATTTACATTCAGATGCTTGGCAACTGATTCATGTTTATGATGGCTGCAATGTCCCGGGGTCACGTGATCCTGTTTTGTGACCTGTATACATAACCACAGATGAGCCAGCTCAGGATCATGTCTTGATAACTGGTTTAGATAGCTGTCAAAATGTGCTTCTTCCCTTAGGAAGCATAACGGAGTTGTTTTTCCCACCAGCAGAAAATACCAAGAAATCCATCAATTAGTTTCCTAAAATTAGTGACCTGATTAAATATTCACATATGCCACCCCCCCCCAAAAAAAAATGAGCTCAAGAACTAAAACATTGAAGCATTTCACACACCAGTTCAAAATTATGTAGTGGTCAAAAATGAATAGGATCATGGTGCCATTAAACATAAATGCTCTGAATAGAATCTCATTCTGAAGGCACACTCAACCAGAAGTACTTTTTGGGTTATTTCCTTTTGGCTGGATATCTGGCATGTTTTTATTTTCCGAAATACCAATATTTAGCTTGGTTGTTATTGAATATCACCTCAAAACCCTTGAACTGAATGCTCTGAAACTCGGCAGAATGTTTCTCTTCAAAAAGGGCAACTATATCTGAAAATAACTGATTCTGCCAAAAAAATAAAAATGATATTGGCAGCTTTCTTGAAAGAGAAAAATAATGTTTTGTCTTCAGTTTGACAGGTTCCCCATCACAGAAGACACTATAATTCTAGAAAACGTAGCTCAATTTCAGATTACTGTACCTTTAATGGAAACCAGCTAAAAGTGATTACATATATTCTATTACACAGAAAAATAGCAATTTTCATTTGGTGTTTTCCAGGTATAATTACTAACGACGTATGGAAGTTGAAATTTTGAATCATCTTTAAGAGCTGAGCCTTGTCTACAGTAATCTTCCCCATCACCTAATCAGGATCCAAGCCTCCAACAATATATTTTTTCACATCCAGGCTGCAACATTTGGTTTTCTTGCCAATAAATTGTTTTGGTAGCCTTGCTCTTTAGAGAAAAAAACAGAAGTGTCTCCTCATAGTTCTAAAATTAAAATCTGAGTGACTGATGGAGAAAAAGGGGAAAGGAAAAGGAAGGTGCCAGGTTGCCACAGACTAAGAACAATTGTTATCATCTCATCCACTCCACAAACATCAGGAGGCTGGAAGCAGGGAGAGGCTTACTGGGACCACAGATCTAAGACTGAGGGGAAAATGATTCCCATTTTCTCTAGACAGGGAAGCCAAATGGGGATCTCACTGCTATCCTGCACAGTGATGGGATCCTCCTGGTTCCGCCCGGTTCCGCCGAGCCAGTAGCGGTGATGATATGACGTCACCGAACCAGTTCTGGCCCCCCCCGCGTTATTTTTACCTTTTATTTGGCCCCACCCCCGATCTATTGCTGCCTCCTGAGTCCCAGCTGATCGGCTAGAAGGAAAAAAACTGTTTAAACTCTTGCCACGGGGTTTCAAATGGCCACCCTACAACTGATCAGTGTTAAAAGGCAGTGTGGTGTAGACCGGTGCCTCCAAAAACAAATGAGTAGACCGCTGCCTGCAAAAATAAATGGGTAGACCAGTGCCTCCAAAAACAAATGGATAGACTGGTCCAAAAACAAATGGATAGACCAGTGCCTGCAAAAAATAAATGGGTAGATCAGTACAGCTCTGCAAGCAGTTAAAAGCCTGGTAGACCAGTACCTCTGCTAAATCCTAAAGAATTGTCACATGACCATCAAGCCACACCCACAAAATAAGCCACACCCACAGAACCGGTAGTAAAAAAATTTAGAACCCACCCCAATCCTGCATCAAAACACTAGCTGAATACCCATGCTCCCCTATGAAACTACATTGATAAATCGACACTTAAAGTTGAAAACTAATGAGTAGTTACAATCACCTTCTCCTCTTCCTTTCTCTCCCTCAGGCTTGCCCCACAGAAGCCTCTCCTCTCCTATCCACCTTCTCTCCCTCAGGCTGGCCCCATTGATCTTCTCCTATCCCCTTCTCTCCCTCTGGCTTGCCCCACAGAGGCCTCTCCTATCTTATCTCCTTCTCTCCTTCAGGCTGGCCCCAATGATCCTCTCCTATCCCCTTCTCTCCCTCAGACTTGCCCCACAAAAACCTCTCCCTTCCAGGTGGGGAGTAGAAGCCCACAGGCCAGATGAGTCACATGCTGGCCAAGCCCATGCCCAAGTGGCAGTTGGAATAGAGTTCTTTTCAGGTGGGGAGGGGGAGTAGAATTTCTAACTCCTTAGCATCAGAGCATGTTAATAATAATATAAGAAATACTAATGATCGGATGGTCATTTCGAAAAATCCTTTCTTAGTGAGCACCTAGAAGCCAAGAGGAACATACATGCCAAATTTCAAGTTTGTAGGCTTTACAGTTCTGGAGATTCCGTGATGATGTGTGAGTGGTATTTCACTTTTATATATATAGAAGATTAGCATGCATGAAGCCAGTGATGGAACTTGCTTGGGCAGCCATCACAACCAGCACAGCTCCTCCCTTTTACAGCTTTAGGGTAAGAATCAGGCAAGTGAAATAGCTGCACTCCTAGCCTTATACTGAGGTTGTACTGGTAGGAGAACCATCTCTCATTTTCATCCACCCAGGCAGGGAGTCCTTCTTTCTTCTTATCCTGAGGGAGGATCCGTTGAACCAAACTGAGATGGCTCAGCTGCTAATCTTATGGCCAGCTCTTTCTGTCCTGCTGTGTATGTGTATGTGTATGTGTATGTGTATGTGTATGTGTATGTGTATGTGTACGTGTACGTGTACGTGTACGTGTATGTGTATGTGTATGTGTGAGAGGGAAGGAGGGATGGGCTACAGTCCAGGGGGTGTCAAACTCAATTTCATTGACGGCCACATCAGGATTGTGTTCAACCTCGGGGGGGGGGGCTTAGCAAGGGTGGGTGTGGCCTATGGTGGCCTGAGTGCTCTGCCAGCGAAAACGGAGCTCAGAAGGGGCGTGCTTGGCCCGCCTGGGCTCCATTTTCACTGGCACAGGCATCACGGGCTGGTCCTTCACTGTCCCTCCTGAGCTCTGTTTTTGCTGGCAGAGGCACCATGGGCCTGTCCTTCACTATTTCCAGGGTGGCCCCATCTAAGTACCCTGTGGGCCAGGTCTGGTCCATGGGCCTTGAGTTTGACACCCCTGGGCTACATGAAATGTCCTGGAGTAGGTCTGCAAGTTTTAAACCCCTTGGCTGGACTCAAAAGTGAAAAGCCAAAGAAGATGGCTATTGACAAACCACTTCCATGTTGGAGTGGATTGTTTGTGCAATAGTTACCTCCCCCTCCTGAATCTCTTCTATTTTTTTAATGAATTGTGCTACTCATAACAGAATGTAAGCAAATTTCCTCCAACCATGTACTGTACAGTATATTGCAGTGTGCTGAATATGGGACAGAATTGGAGCCCGCTGTAATTTACTACTGACAATTCTTGATGGGATAGCTAGTGTCCACTTCCTCTGAGCTGAGCATCTCATAATTTATCAAGTTACCTGCACACTGAAAGAAGAATTGCCAGGGACTTTATAAAATTAAGAGGCATTATTATAATGTTACCCTGAAGAAAGTGTATCAAAGAGGTTGCTAAGAGTTGACACCAATTTGATAGTATGTAATCAATCAATTTTAAAACCAAAATATATGCCTTACCAGTGAACTATAAATCTTCTCTACCCCTGGCCTCCAAACTTCATCTATATGTATGAATTGTGAAGTTGTTATACTGACATCTGCAGGACATGTGGCTCAGACTAGAGCCTGGAAGAGAGATTGTGAAATCTGATGGACCTGACTACCATATTCATTTTTGCAAACTGTAACAGGCTGTATTCATATAATAATGAGTCAGATTACCAGATCTGGTAATCTGACCAGATTCTGGGGTTTAGCACAGATAGGCAAGCCCTGCTTTTAGAATAACGGTATCTATGTCTTCTAAAATAGAAGTAATTGTCACATATAAATACCTGACCTCATGCCCAGGCCAGGAGACAGGGGGCTGGTGAGATCGATCCCCAAGGTCCACCCTAACCCATTGACCCCTCCTTACCTTAGCCCCGCCCCACTGGTACTTAAGGTCCAGCCATGCGGTCCAGAGCCAGTTCCAGTACAGCACCTGTAAGGAAGAGACATATTATGAATAAAGGCTTCTGATTAAATAAATACCTGTGTGATGGAGTTATTGGGCTCGATCCTTGAACACCTTTAACAATATCGTAGCAGAGGATGGTTGAATAGCCCAAATCATTCCAGGATATGCCAAGGAACTCCAAGCCGACAACAACAACGAACAGAGTGAATACCAGAGCATTCACTAAGAAAATGGCAGAACAACTACTGTCGGCATGCAAGGGGAGGTGCCAGAGACGAGCGACCAGCTTTCCAACCCAGGCACCCCAACCAGATGCGGTGAGGAAGGAGAGAAACCCGAAAGCCCAGCATGCAAGCAGAACGACCTTAAAAGAAAACTCCTCAAACTCATAAACTCAGCCCCGACCAACACAGACCTCATCGTGGAACTTCGGAGCCTAGTTGAGGACTGCGAAGCAGAGAGTGAGGAAGATGAGGGCGAGCCAGACTACACCACCGAAGAAGCGGTAAAAAATGATTGCCCCTGCCAGAGACCCACCAAAAAGGCCGAAAAAGAATTCGCGCCCTTTTTGTGGCGGCCATCTTGGATGGTGACGTCACCAAAGATGGCCGACCAATCACCAATAGATTCCCGAGATTTAAATCTCATGGCGGGAATCAGGGCCTACACCGAAGCGACCACCCAGAACCATGGCGATGATTGGGACCACCCAAAACCAAAGCCCACGAGCTCGCCTACTGAGCTCGAGATCTATGGGGCCATAAAACTACTCACTGCGGCCTTCGAGGACAAAATAAAGTTACCGGACGTGTACTCCAGCACCCCACGAAGGCCCAAAGGGACCACCGACCCGAGGGGAACCGGCATCAGCACCCAGGAGGACCAACCACCGCGACGTGGGCCCAACACCAGCCGCGACCCACAGGGGGCCCACCCATATCAGCACCGGGACCAGTGACGGAGTAACGAGGGCAATGGGACTACTCACCTGACCGACGACCTGGACCAAGACCCACGGAACCATCGGCAGGCATCGGACTCGGCCCGACCCCAGGACACAGCCTCCATGCCAGGCCAAGCCATCCGCAGCGACACGTGGCTCCTGCAGGACCTCCGATCTTCTCAGCTGACCCGCACAGCTTTCCGGGGATCCAGACGGTGATCCGAAGGCCCTTCGAGCATGTGAGGCCAGCCAAGGATGAGCCGAAGGCCCATCCGGACGAATGGGGCCTTCACCCGGGAGCTACAGAAACGAGCTCCTCGCTCCACGGCTGCTGGGCTAGAATGGAGCCTGGGCATGCGCAGAATCCACCTACAAGAGAAAGAGAATGGAATATAGAGACAAGTCAGTACAAGAACATAGAAGCAAGTCAGTACAGACTCGCAACAGTCATCCCCCTGCCTTATTGTGAGTTTCCATTATGCACAAAACCATGGACAGCAATCCCCCTGAAAGGCCATGGACTTTTGACTTAGATTGCATGAACCACAAGGCATACTACATATTAATTGCTAGTATTTCCCCCAGCATTTACCCTAGCATTAGCCACCACCTAACAGTCTCAGAGATGATACACAAAATGCACAGCCTATTCTATAGTCAGAGCGTAGCAACCACCACCAGGTTCTCTAGGGAATTCCACTCAGCCAAGCTCAAGGCAGGAGCCTCTATGAGTGAACACTTATTATCATTAAATGCCACTAGGGCTGAACTAACACAAAGGGGGGAAATTATAAGCGAGAGAAGCATGATCAGTATCATTGTCAATTCCCTGGACCCCAGCTGGGACAGTTTCATCACACAATTAGATATTCTCAGCCTAGAAAGACTTACATTAGAGACATTAACCAACAAACTCATTGCTGAGGATAGTCTAAGGAAGGACCGTTCACTAAG